AGCCATGCGGCTCTTGACCCGGGTGCAACCGCAACAAACAAGAATATGAACAGAGAAACATCTTAAAGCGGCGACGCGCAACAGAAGCGTCCTGGGATAAACCAGCAAAATCTTCCAGAAAGAAAGAAAACGCTGTAGTACAACGCTGTTATAAGTCAGCAGCAGCAGTAGCAGCTGGGTGGTCGGCACACCGATACGTGCTCGCCGATGACTCAAGACTGCAGCTCACCGCAAAGTCACAAGCTTTTTGTTGTTGTTTCATACCCCGAAGGGCAACAACATACGCGGCACTTACACTGACAAATACCCACTCCGATCCAAACACGCGCGTGCACGTCTATACAAAGATCCCTCTCATAGACTGCACAGGCTGTCCGGGCAAGTGTCGTCAGTGAGCACCTATTAAGGCACTACACACGGGGCACGACGGGATGGGTCGGTTAAGCACCACCACCCGGCCGCCTTTGTCTCTCCGGTGCTGGCTGATGTTCACGCACCGCACCAGGTGCTCATTTATGGCTGAGTCGCCCTAGGGGAGACCCCGCACCACTCCCAAAAATACGGAGATAATTTAAAAGACTGCAAGTGGTGTTAGCGAGCGCCTATGAAGGCCGGCACGGTAGACGAGGGGGTGGGTGGCACCAGGTAACTCATTTGGCGCTGAGTTCACCTAGAGGGAGGCCCAATACCGGTTCAGATAATCGCCACCGGATATTGGCCGTGAGCGGGAATCGAACCTGGGTCGCCGGGTTGGTAGCGCAGCACGCTAACCGCTACACTACCGCTCCCCACATACACACACACACGCATGCACATACACACATGCACACACATACACACACACATCGGGCGAGCGCGCGGTGTCAATGCCCGGCTATTGAAAGGGAGTGACCCCGGCGGTCAGAGTGAAGAATTTTTTTTTTTAACCCGCAGCCAAAGAAAGAACCCTTAACCATGCGCGTGGGAATCCCCGCAAACAAATAAACAAGGAATCAAAACCATGCACGCGCCTGGATTCCGCGAGATTTTTTTTTCTTCTCTCTCTCCAAATGTTCGTGCCCGCCGGGAAGTGTTCGCATGTTGATTTAATGAACGTGTAATTACCTTCGACGAAGAGGTGTATCGGATACACGGACATCTAACGGGCGAACTGGATCGTGTGCAGCACTTAGCAGTGTGTTAAAGTGCGCGTGGAGACTGCCTCCAACTGCCCAGTAGCGGTCCTTCGCGAGCCTCCTCCGCAGACGACGATCTTGACATCGCTGGTACGGGTCACGGGCAACTCCACTCAGCTCCACATCCTCCCGTACCTCATCAGCTCCATCTCTTCTCTTAGCCCCCCTCTATCCGGCCAAACAGAAGCCCCTACGGTAGTTTGGGCACAAGCTTATGTCATTTTTATTTTACGGTGGAGGTAGTGGCGTCGTAACTACATTATCAATGGCGTAGCCACTACATTATCAGTGGCGTAGCGACTACATTATCAGTGGCGTAGTAACTACATTATCAGTGGTGTAGTAACTACATTATCAATGGCGTAGTGACTACATTATCAGTGGTGTAGTAACTACATTATCAATGGCGTAGTGACTACATTATCAGTGGCGTAGTAACTACATTATCAATGGCCTAGTGACTACATTATCAGTGGCGTAGTAACTACATTATCAGTGGCGTAGTAACTACATTATCAGTGGTGTAGTGACTACATTATCAGTGGTGTAGTAACTACATTATCAGTGACGTAGTGACTACATTATCAGTGGCGTAGTAACTACATTATCAGTGGGGTAGTGACTACATTATCAGTGGTGTAGTAACTACATTATCAGTGGTGTAGTAACTACATTATCAGTGGCGTAGTGACTACATTATCAGTGGCGTAGTAACTACATTATCAGTGGTGTAGTAACTACATTATCAATGGCGTAGTAACTACATTATCAGTGGCGTAGTAACTACATTATCAATGGCGTAGTAACTACATTATCAGTGACGTAGTAACTACATTATCAGTGGGGTAGTGACTACATTATCAGTGGGGTAGTAACTACATTATCAGTGGCGTAGTGACTACATTATCAGTGGCGTAGTAACTACATTATCAGTGGTGTAGTAACTACATTTTCAATGGCGTGGTAACTATATTACCAGTGGTGTAGTAACTACATTATCAATGGCGTAGTGACTACATTATCAGTGGCGTAGTAACTACATTATCAGTGGTGTAGTAACTACATTATCAGTGGTGTAGTGACTACATTATCAGTGGTGTAGTAACTACATTATCAGTGGTGTAGTAACTACATTATCAGTGGCGTAGTAACTACATTATCAGTGGCGTAGTAACTACATTATCAGTGGTGTAGTAACTACATTATCAGTGGTGTAGTGACTACATTATCAGTGACGTAGTAACTACATTATCAGTGGTGTAGTAACTACATTATCAGTGGTGTAGTGACTACATGATCAGTGGTGTAGTAACTACATTATCAGTGGTGTAGTAACTACATTATCAGTGGTGTAGTAACTACATTATCAGTGGTGTAGTGACTACATTATCAGTGACGTAGTAACTACATTATCAGTGGTGTAGTAACTACATTATCAGTGGTGTAGTGACTACATTATCAGTGGTGTAGTAACTACATTATCAGTGGTGTAGTAACTACATTATCAGTGGCGTAGTAACTACATTATCAGTGGCGTAGTAACTACATTATCAGTGGTGTAGTAACTACATTATCAGTGGTGTAGTGACTACATTATCAGTGACGTAGTAACTACATTATCAGTGGTGTAGTAACTACATTATCAGTGGTGTAGTGACTACATGATCAGTGGTGTAGTAACTACATTATCAGTGGTGTAGTAACTACATTATCAGTGGCGTAGTGACCACGTTATCAGCTCAAGGCGTGCGGCAATCGGCCAGGTGGGGCCCCCAATATGTAATCTGTCTCACACAGTCGCACCTAGGCTCCATATCTGCGGCTGTTCTTGCCTAACCGCATAATTAATCTTTTTTTCTTATACATTTAAACCGCGTTTTAAATACGCCTTGTTGTTATTTTACACTGTTGTCGAACACATATCTCGCGGTGGTAGTGGGGGCATGGCAGCCCTTGCCGTACCCCCACGTTCGTTCAGCTGCCGGGTGGAGGGGTTGCCAACCCGGAGTGCCCATCCAGGGGCCCAGTCACCCACTGTGGAAGGACGTGGATACATCACGGCCGATGCCAGCGCCGTGTCCCACCAAACGGCGTTACTCACCGCGGCACGGTGTCACCTTGTACCACCACGACAACACACACACACAGATAAAGACCCCCCGTATAGCCTTAACAGGCTGTTGGGGCAAGTGCTGTTAGCGAGTAGCAACCCATGAAGGTCGGAACGGCACACGATAGGAAGGGGGGGGGGGTGGTGTGGGTTGGCCAGCACCACCCCCGACCGTCTTTGTCTTCCCATTGGAGATGTTAAAACACACCGCAACCAGGTACAGTACTCGTTTGAGGATGAGTCGACCTATGGGGAGTCTCAGGAACGGTTCAGATAACGCGTCGCTGGTGTTGTTAGTGGCCGTGAGTGGGAATCGAACCTCGATCGCCGGCTTCGTATAGCGCAGAGCGCTTAACGCTACGCTACGGCTGCCCACACGAACACACACACACACACCCGTACGGACACACACACACACCCATACGGACACACACACACACACCCATACCGACACACACACACACACTCATACGGACACACACACACACCCATACGGACACACACACACACACTCATACGGGGACACACACACACACACCCATACGGACACACACACCCATACGGACACACACACACCCATACGGACACACACACACACACTCATACGGACACACACACACACCCGTACGGACACACACACACCCATACCGACACACACACCCGTACGGACACACACACACTCATACGGACACACACACACACACTCATACGGACACACACACACACCCGTACGGACACACACACCCATACGGACACACACACACACACTCATACGGACACACACACACACCCGTACGGACACACACACACCCATACGGACACACACACACACCCATACGGACACACACACACCCATACCGACACACACACCCATACGGACACACACACACCCATACGGACACACACACACACACTCATACGGACACACACACACACCCGTACGGACACACACACACCCATACGGACACACACACACACACTCATACGGACACACACACACACCCGTACGGACACACACACACCCATACGGACACACACACACACCCATACGGACACACACACACCCATACCGACACACACACCCATACGGACACACACACCCATACGGACACACACACACACACTCATACGGACACACACACACACCCGTACGGACAAACACACCCATACGGACACACACACACTCATACGGACACACACACACACCCGTACGGACACACACACACCCATACGGACACACACACACACTCATACGGACACACACACACACCCGTACGGACACACACACCCATACGGACACACACACCCATACGGACACACACACACACACACCCATACCGACACACACACACCCGTACGGACACACACACACCCATACGGACACACACACACACACACCCATACGGACACACACACACACCCGTACGGACACACACACACACCCATACGAACACACACACACACACCCATACGGACACACACACACACACACCCATACCGACACACACACACCCATACGGGGACACACACACACACCCATACGGACACACACACACCCATACGGACACACACACCCGTACGGACACACACACACACCCATACGGACACACACACACCCATACGGACACACACACACCCATACGGACACACACACCCATACGGACACACACACACACCTATACGGACACACACACACACCCATACGGACACACACACACACCCATACGGACACACACACACACCCTCCATCCACACCACCAAGCCTCCCCACCTCCCTGCGCCTCGCAAGAGCGAGCTGCGGGGAGTTGGGGGGGGCGAGGCGAGGCGAGTCCTGGAGCGCGTCAAGGTTCAGTGACAACGGAACGAGATGAAGAGATCAGTGACGAGGAGGAGGAGTGAGGAGCAGGATGTGGAGGAGGTAGGAGCAGGAGGAGGTAGGAGCAGGATGAGGAGGTAGGAGGAGGAGGATGAGGTAGGAGGAGGAGGTAGGAGGAGGATGAGGAGGTAGGAGCAGGATGAGGAGGTAGGAGGAGGATGAGGAGGTAGGAACAGGAGGAGGACGACGAGAGGGGCGTGGAGGAGGAAAGGGAGGAGCGGGAGATGAGTCGTGCTTTAGGAAGAGACGCCACTCGCTTTGACAATTACTGAGCGTGAGAAGTTTGTCTCGAGACGCGAGGCCGTCAGCTCCACGGGATGGATGGTCACGACAGCGGGATTCATCTGCGGCTACCCGCGGGTTGCGTGCGCAAGTGTCCGTGTGTGCACGTGGTGTCCGTGTGTGCACGTGGTGTCCGTGTGTGCACGTGGTGTCCGTGTGTGCGCGTGGTGTCCGTGTGTGCGCGTGGTGTCCGTGTGTGCACGTGGTGTACGCGTTGCGCGTGTATCAGCCTCAAATGAGTACCTGGTGCGGTGTGTAAACATCGCCACTCGAGAGACAAAGGCGGCCGGGCGTGGTGTTGGCCACCGACCCCCTCGTGTACCGTGCCGACTTTCATAGGCGCTCGTCGCTAACAACACTTGCCCCAGCAGTCCGTTAAGGCTATACGGGGGATCTTTGTCTTTGTGTTTTAATGTCTGTTTGTGTAAATATATATACACCATATTGTTTGTGTGTATATATACACTATATTGTTTGTGTGTGTATATATACACTATATTGTTTGTGTGTGTGCATATATACATGTTGTGCTGTGTGTGCTAATCTTTGTGTTTGTGCGCGCGTGTGTTTGCGTTTGGTTTGTATTCTCGAGTGTATTCGTGTATGCGTGTCCATATGTACGTGTATTTGTGTGGTGGTGTAGCGGTTAGCGCGCTGCGCTATGAACCCGGCGACACGGGTTCGATTCCCGCTCACGGCCAACACCAGTGACGATTATCTGAACCTGTCCCGGGCCTCCCCTAGGTCGACTCAGCCTCAAATGAGTACCTGGTGCGGTGTGTAAACATCGCTACTGGGGAGACAAAGGCGGTCGGGCGTGGTTGCTGGCCACCCACCCCCTCGTGTACCGTTCCGGCCTTCATAGGTGCTCGCTAACGGCACTTACCCCTACAGTCTGTGAAGGCTATAAGGGGGAGCTTTGTATTTGTGTACGTGTGTGTCTTGTGTATATATGTGTGTGTGTATATTTGGGTCGAGGCGTGTAGTGTGTATACTGTATATCTATATTTGTCTACAGAGGTGTCTATATGTGTGTGTTTGTCTTTTTTGTATGTGTGTATTTGTGTCTGTGTGTGTTTGTGTGTCTATACGTGTGTGTGTGTGTATATTTGTGTCTATGTCTGCGTGTGCGTGTCCCTCCTATTTATAAATGTGTATGTATATATGTGTGTGTGTATATATCTAAATTGGTTAGCATACTGCGCTCCGAGACGGAATTCTTTCAATTCGACTCCTTCACTGGTTCTGGGTTCCCCATCAACAAACCCCGCACTGACCAGCGTGGTGAAGTATGGTCAAATAAGCCCCGTGACCGACACGGTGTGGGTAGGTCTTCATCCAGCAGTGGAATGACACAGGGATGTGATAGATATATACTACACGCATGTGTGTGTGTGAGTGTTTGTGTCCGTATACGTGCCGTTAAAAAAGGGTCATTTCCCGAAACGTCGGAGATGATCTATCTTTCGTTTCTTTTAAGACAGTGTTGCTGGCGAGTGTTGTGAGATTTGTGTCGAGTGTGTGTTGATGTTATTCTGTGTGTGGGGGAGCGGTAGTGTAGCGGGTTAACGCGCTGCGTTACGAACCCGGCTACCCGAGTTCCATTCTCGCTCACGGCCAACATCAGCGGCTGTTATCTGAACCAGGTCCGGCGTCTCCTCTAGGTCTACTCAGCCCAAAATGAGTAGCTGGTACTACGAGGGAGACAAAGGCGGCCTGGTATGGTGTTGGCCACCCACACCAGCGTGTGCCGTTCCGGCCTTCATAGGTACTACTCGCTAACGGCACTTGCCCCAAAAGTCTGTTAAGGCTACACGGGGGATCTTTGTCTTTGTTTTGGTGTGTTTGCGCGCGTGTGTATATACGTGCACGTGCGTACTGTATGTGTGCGATCTCGCGAACAGCACTTGCCCCTTACAGTCTATGGGTCCACACGGGGAAGCTGTATCTTTGTGTGTCTATGCATTGGTATAGCCAAATGGTAGTACTGTAGTAATAATAATGTCTGTGTTTCACTGTGTGTGCAAATTAAAGAGGAGCGGTGGCGCAGTGGTTAGCGCACCGCTTTAGGAACCCAGAGCTGAAATGAGTAAATGGTGTGTGTAGTGTGTGTAAGCAAGTATCAACACTGGGAAGACAAAGGCGGCCGGGCGTGGTTCTGGCTTCACCACCACCCTCGTGCTCGCTAACAGCACTTGCCCCGTCAGCCTGTGAAGTTTACACGGAGCACCTTTGTCTTTATTCTTACGACCAATAATCTACACAGCTAACAAGCGGAATTATGTTTTTAAAAGTTTTAAAACCAGCAAGAGTGTTTTGCATAAATATATTTAAAAATATTAGAAGTGTGTACAAAAGACAAATATATTCATATTTTCAATGTAAAGGTATTGCATTTCTGCCAGAGGAAGATGCCCCCTTCATATCATTATAAAAGTACTCTTATTATATTGTTTTAAACTTTCACACCACACCAACAACAACCACCCCACTTTTTTTCAAATTTTCTTGCTGTGGTTTTCACACCTGATGATGATTGCTTGTGTTGCGGTCGAAACGTCGTGAGAATTTTATTGTTTTATATTTTTATTATTTTATTGTTTCCCTTCTATACGTGACTTTACCGAAAGAACCAAGAATATAACAAACCCGCAGTTTATTTTATAATCTGACTATTTAAACAATTTTAAATGGTCTCTAGAGCGCGTACTCTGCGTCGTACAAAGGAGGCGAATTACTCGGTCCGCAGGCGATGGCCGGTGGTGGATGGAGCCTCGGGGGGCGTCGTTGTACGCGAGGCTCCTGAGCAGCAGCAGCAGCGGCATCAGCGAGGCTCCGGGCTGAGGCTGCCCGCTCCGTGACGCGCCCAGCCCCCCCACGTCGCTCCACGTCGCTCCACGCGCACGCACGGGGCTCGTGGTGGGGTGGTGGTGGTGGTGGTGGGTGGGGGGCTCTCACCGCCACGTTCCACATCGGTTGAGACGTTTCCGACTTCCACTCGCGACGAACGTCGTCAACTCTCCACTCAAAACTTGTGGAGCGTCTCGCGAGAATCGACGTCGCTCACGCGATCGCCGCCGTCTCCGCACGCGCGTGGCTTCGAGGTGTCCACGACCTTCTAGGACACCGTGAGAATTGCGTGCGTGTTGGACTTCTTTCGCACCGTACGTAGCCAGCCGTGCTAGTCGGAGGTGCGCGGGAAGGACAACAAAACTGAAACACGACGAGCAGTTGTGTGAAGCAACGAGTTTTCAATCTTGATTTTAAAGTGTATTGCTCCTGTAGAATTGACGTCTCTGTCGTCTGTCTGTATGCATGAGTTCGATTACGTCTCGCCTTCTAGAACATCGTAAGAATTGACGTGGCTATCGTCTGTATGTGTGAGTTAGACGTGTCTAACTAACACCTTCTAGAATATACTACCAGAGTATGTTTTTTTGTTTGCATGTTCACCGCAAGTACTGTGTGTGGCTAATGCGGACTTCGTGATTCCTTGCAAAAGGTTTATGTTTGGTGTTTTAACATCTTAACACATCCTGTTTTATTGCCAGGAGGGGTATGAAACGTTTTATTATAACATCATGGTAATTCACATCAGTCACCCCCTCTCCATCGCACACATATACACACTGTATAAGTATATATTTGTAAACACAAATTAACGTCGCCTAAGTCATATATAATAACAATTCTCATGATCATCATCACACAGGTACAATCCACTGCTCTCTGAAGTGATGTAAATGTAAATAGGCCAGCATCTGCTCCGCGCACGAAAGTTCATCAACTCCGTCTCTCTCACGCGTTTTAATTTCTCATTAAAGGCCCACTCCGGATATTTTTTTTCCCCATATCGGCTTATCCAGTGCATAATATACTGCAATTAATTTCATAATTACTTACAGCTCATTGTACACAATGCTTATTATTACAATGCCGTATTGATGCACGTGCTTATGCTGCATATGAAACATTGCGTTCATGTGAACACGACAGTAGTTGTGATGTTACGTTTGAAATTGACATGCAAAGTATTACGCATATATATGTAGGGCCACACAACTGTCAACGTAATTTTACGTTACGCCTAGGTGCAGAATGATATGTAACTGTTCTACCAAGTCGCAGTATAATTGTGTTTAAATGTTCTGTAATAAACGAGTCTCGTGTTAAATAACTCAGTTACGTGGGGGGGGGGGGGGGGGGGGTTGCTGGTCGGCCTAAGCGTCACCAACCTCGCCTGTGTCTGAGTTCGAATTGCGGACCCAGGCTACCATCAGTGGCGAGTGATGTCTACACCAATTCCTGGGTTCACCAACCCGTGGTGCTGACCGTCGTGGTGAAGTATGGCCAAACACGCCTCGAACGCGTTCCATCCAGCAGTGGATTGACGAAGGGCTGTACATGATTGTGTGTTAACTCTACATGAACAGTGCAAATCTCACTCGGCTAAAGCTCATAACGTGACAGGTCCGTGAATTTTATTATAGGTTACTGACACTAATTTGAGTGTATCCTATCTTAGTTGTTTACTTGTAGAGCGCCTTTGTTAATACCGTACAGAAATATATATGGGGTGGAGCGGTGGCGCAGTGGTTAGCGCACTGCGCTATGAACCCGGCGTCCTGAGTACATTTCCCGGCCACGACTCAAACCAGTGGCAACATTTAGAATATTTATTAATGCTGGAGAAATCCGATAAGCTATGAAGCTCTTTTTTAGTTTTTTTTTGTTACAGATGTCCAGTGTCGAACGATATCTCGCTCTAAATTCTCCGCTCTAGGGTCTGGAGGTTCACAAGTTATCTAGAGGTTTGAGGTCACCAACCTCATAGCGCAATGCGCTAACCACTGCACCCACCGCTCCACTGCTATATGCTGTATCTGAGCGATACAATGGAAATGATTGAATAGTAGATCTACGGCACGTGAGTTGCATTATTACACTCATGAGATTTATTTCCAGCGACGGGAACGAGTGATTCACATTACACAAATGAACATTGAACAAAATATATGCTACGTGCAATAAAGGACCATTGCCCGAAACGTCTATTATATATTTTTGTTACTTTTAAGGCCACACATTGTTATGGACGCATGCGTTAAATTGTTTCGTGAATTCAGATTTCTATTGCATACTTGAATTAAGATCTGAAGCCAGATGGTGGTGATAATGATGATATAGGTGGTGGCGGATGTGAGTTTGGTGGTTGTGAGGTGGTGGTGAGTTGGTGGTGGTGAGGTGGTGGTGGTGGTGGTGGTGAAGTGGTGGTGAGTTGTTGGTGAGTTGGTTGGTAGTGAGGTGGTGGTGAGTTGATAGTAGTGGTGAGTTGGTAGTAGTGGTGAGTTGGTGGTGGTGAGGTGGTGGTGAGTTGGTGGTGGTGAGGTGGTGGTGAGTTGTTGGTGAGTTGGTGGTGGTGAGGTGGTGGTGAGTTGATAGTAGTGGTGAGGTGGTAGTAGTGGTGAGTTGGTGGTGGTGAGGTGGTGGTGAGTTGGTGGTGGTGGGACTACAAGAGAGGTTGTTGAAGTATGAGCGGCCTGTGCAAGAAAAGCTGAAGGCCGACATAGATCGTTCAGATCGTCGTGGTGATGCGTGAGACTGGATGTCACGGCGTCGATTGTGCAACGCAGCCGCGGAATCTGGCAGAAGGAAGGGAGAGACGGTCGATGTGTGATGACATCAACGACGTCGGCGGCAGTGAAGTGATCTCTTGACCTCTTGATCGGAAGAGTGGACTTTCGTCGGGTATACCAAAACATAAATAAAGTGGAGTCATTCTGGTCCAAGCTTGGTCGTGGGAAGCAACATAGCTGTTATATCAATGCGTCCGAAGAGTAACGTTTTCAATCAGTGCGATTTTTTTTTTAAAGATCGAACAAAGGTTTTGAGAAGTGGGCAGTGAAGCATTTCGAGGTGCCCCGTTTGGAATTGCATCGAGAGAAACAGAGGAACGCTTGGAGGCAGATAGCAGACGACGACAACAACGACAACGGAGATCATCGTCACATGGACTGCTGAGAAGAGGACAACGCGGCGCTCGACAGGACGAGGCTGGTGACAACCGAATGGGAGAGAGAAACACCAAACGGGGACGATAACCCACCTACAGCACCCGCACGCGCGATGATTTCATCCCAGTCTCGTTCACCCATAGCACCTGCACGGATTGGGGGGTGTGGAGGCAGGAGGCCCATCATCATCATCCAGCAGTGGATCGATCGTGGCCTGATGATGACAAAACAAAATAACGCGACTCTAACACATTTAGGCATAGTTTCAAAAAACGGCGCTCCTGTTACACGGACCATGCTCACGGGTTATAATAAATAAGTGAACACATTTGTGCGCGTGCTTTTTTTCTGTGTAGTCGCTGCCGTCTATGGATGTACCCACGTTGAACTTCTTCGGCACCGCACGTAGCCAGGTGCGAGGGAAGGAAAACGAACGAAAAATCACCGCGACGCTGGTTCCCCAGGTACGCCGACCGTATTTTGACGGGATTCTAAAGTAAGACGCACGCCCAAAACTTTGTGCCCGGTGTCAACGACATCACACACGGCAGTGCCGGATTCTCCCAGTAGGGAAAGTAGCTGCACGTGCTACGGGCCCCGCACTTTCAAGGGCCTCGCGCTAAATGCTTTCAAGCTATGAATTCCGGTTCAGTGATTCTGCACTTGCTCTACTACTATAGTACTATACCGCCTTCAATTTTTACAAACGACCGAGTGTTTTGAGGTTATCGATATGTCGTATTATCTGTCTGTATAGCAAATGAAAAATACAATAACTTTACTTTACAAGTTAAGAAAAAATGGTTTAATGTGTTTTTCTTTTATTTAGGGCCCCTTTATAACATCATGCTACAGACCCCGCACTGAGCTTAATCCGGCGCTGTACACACGTACTGCACATACACAAATCGGATCATAAGAAGACGCGCACGCAGATTTTCTGTCCCAGGATACGGGGAGGGATGCGTCTTGTAATCGGGTGAAGACGGTAGCACCCACAAAGTGCCCTGAGACGTGTTGCGGGTTGGTGTTGAGCGTGGAGCGATATCTGCACAAAATGTTACCCCTCTAGTCCTTGTAGAACATCACTCGAATCTGCATGACTCAAGGCTGAGCCGACCTAAGGGAGGCTCGGGACCGGTTCAGATAATCGTCACCGGTGTTTGCCGTGAGCGGGAATCGAACCCGGGTCGCCAGGTTCGTAGCGCAGCGTGCTAACCGCTGCAGCACCACTCCTCCATACACATACACACAAACATGCACGTACAAAGACATACAGACAAACACGTACACACAGACACGAGGATCCCTCGTGTAGCCTTTAACGGACTATTGTGGGGTGACGTGACAGCAACCAGCCCCTCGCCGCCTTTGTCTCCCCAGTGCTGATGTTTACACACCGCACAGGGTGCTCATTTAAGGCCGAGCCGACCTAGGAGAGGCCCAGCAACGGTCCAAATATTCGCCACTGTTGTTGGTAGCGAGCCGGGTGGGGTGTTGAACTCGTGCGGCTGGGTTCGCAGTGCAGTGCGCTAACCACTGCGCCAACGCTCGCCACTACAAGCTCACAGACACACACACACAAGCGCACAAAGTCAGACACAAAACACTCGGCACATATAAATCAAGCTTGTGTTACCTCCTTACACACACACATTCATATCAATCACGTAACATTCATAATCATATTGCGCGTGCATTACACGCTTACAGCTCGGGACTCGCAGTAAATCCATCAACATCACGCTCGCATCAAACACACACACACACGTGTGTACGTATTATACAAATTATACAAATACAACGACAAAGATCCCCCGTATAGCCTCAACAGACTTTTGGGGCAAGTGCTGTTAGCGAGCACCTAATGAAGGCCTGGCACAGCACACACGAGGGGGTGGGTGGCCACCCACCCCTACCTCGTGCATCGTGCCGGCCTTCATAGGTGCTCGCTAACAGCACTTGCCCCTACAGTGTGTCAAGGCGGCGAGCGGGAATCGAACTCGGGTCGCCGGTTCTTTGTTCTATGTGGACGGAGCAGTGGCGCAATGGTTAGCGCACGGCACACGGCTAACATCAGTGGCGGGTGATATCTAAGCCGTAGCGGGCTCCCTCCAACTTCACCAATCCGCACGGACCAGCGTGATGAATTATGATCAACGCGGCGTGAGCAGTCCTTCATCCAGCAGTGGATTGACAAAAGCCTGTACATTGTGCATTGTACACGAATGTACGCATGCAACCATCACATGCCTGTCACACATCAATCACTCGCATCATCTACGACCAAAACACAGATCCACCACCCATCATACAGACCCATCACCCATTAACACGATCCCATCACCCGCTCCGATCATCGCAACCATCACCCAGAGCCATCACCCACCGTCAACACTCCAATCACCCACTCCCATCGCAACCCATCACTTTCACTCTGCGTGCGGGCGGGCGGGAGTTTCTGTGGGAAGTTATTTGATGGCTCAGCAAGTACAAACAATGGAGGAATTTCAGCACAGGGAGTGTGTGTCTGTGCGTGTGTGTTTGTCTGTGTGTGTTTGGCTGTGTGGCTGTGTTGTGCGTGTCTTTGTATCTGTGTGTATCCGTGTGTAAATGTGTCTGCGTGTCTGCGTGTCTGTGTGGAGCGGTGGTGCAACGGTGAGCGCGCCGCGCTACGAACCCGGCGACCCGAGTTCGATTCCCGCTCACGGTCAACACCGGTGACGATTATCTGAACCGGATCGTGGGCTTTCCCTAGGTCAACTCAACCTTAAATGAGTACCTTTTAAGGCTGGTACGACGTGTAAACGTCGCCACGAGGGAGCCAAAGGCGGCCGGGTGCTACTCGCTAACAGCACTTGCCCCAACAGTCTGTAAAGGCTACACGGGGGATCTTTGTTGTCTGTGTGTGTAGCGGCCTTAATCGGTACTCCGCTAACTGCACTTACCTCATGCCAGAGTCTGTTAAATGCTATACGGGGTCTCTTTATCTTTGTCGTCTTTTGTTTTCAACGTCACCACAAATTTCATCAATACGGCATTGTCGCTCTTTAAACACTAGCACTATGGTGCATATCTGCATTGATACTTACGCAGTATATATTTTTTATAAATGAACTGCCAATAACACGGTGCCCTTCAAAGGCAAAATATATAACAGGCGACGTTTTACGCAATAGCCCTTCTTCAGTTTTACGTGCTGTGATGAAGGACCACTACCTGAAACGTCGGCTATTATTGATGAATGTGTTGAATAGTTGTTATTGTTGCCGTTAATTGTGCAACAACGCCAACGCAGCAGCAGCAGCAGCAGCAGCGACGACGTCACTATTAATTATAATTTGCATTACGCAATCGCGTAAGATTGCAGTTTTACAAATAACGGAAGGCGACGCGGAGATGGAGCAATGAAATCAGCTGGTGGCGTGTCAAGCGAACGGGTGTTGGATGGACCGTTGCATCAAAGGATCGTGAGAGGTGGTGGCAGGCGGCTCGAGGAGGAATTCATCCGGCAGTGGACTCACCAAGGCCGATGATGATTATGATGTAGGAAAATTAGGGAGGCATTCGTCCAACAGTGGTTTGGCCATGGCTGACGATTATGGAGCAGACCCATGGAAGAATTCCATCCCACGGTGGATTGAGCATGGCTGATGATGATGATAATGCTGATGGAAGAGACTTATGGAGGAATTCATCCAGCAGCGGATTGACCATGGCTGATGAGGATTGCAATTCAATGACAGTTTTTAAAAAGTCCTTCTACATAAAATTAAACGAGTATCTAAGGCCATGCCAAAACAAACATTAGCATTCATCATTCACCGGTCGTCATCCATCCACCGCTGGACGAAGGCCTCCCCAGTCCGTCGACATGCAACAGCGCATCTCGCTAACGCCGCATTCCCCGGATTATTCGAAGCTCCGGAAAGTAAGACGCACACCCCAACTTGTTTCCGGCCCCCAGGTGGCAATGAAGTCATACAGATCTGGTCACACACTCACACGCGCACAACTACCGGATTATAAGACGCATCC